TATGCTTCCAGCAAGCAACGTTGTATCATCTACATATTGCAGGTTGTTAATGGGTCTTCCTCCAGTCCTGATGCTACACTCTTCTTCATGAAATCCAGCTCCTCAGATTATTTGCTCAGCTAACAGATTGAATAAGTATGGAGAAAGAATACAGTACTGTCACACATCTTTCCTGATTTTAAACCATTCAGTATCCCTTTGTTCTGTTTGAACGACTGCCTTGTGTCTATATGCATGGTTCTCATGAATACATTGTAGTGTTCTGGAATACCCATTCTTCATAGTGTTATCCATACATAGATTGCCATAATCCATACAGTCAAAAGCTTTTGCATAGTCAACAAAACACAGGTAAATATTGCTCTGGTATTCTTTACTTTTAGCCAAGACCCATCTGACATTAACAGTGGTAACCTTAGTTTCACATCCTCTTCTGAATTCACTTTGAGTTTCTGGTAGTTTCCTGTAGATGTACTGTTGCAACCATTTTTTAGTTGTCTTCATCTAAATTTTACTTACATGTAATATTAATGATCTTGTTTGATGATTTCTGAATTCCATTGGGTTATCTCTCTTTGGAGTGGGTACAAATGTGGGTCTCTTTCAATCAGTTGGCCAGGTAGCTGTCTTCCAAATTTCTTGGCATAGATGAGTGAGTGCCTCCAGTGCTGGATCAATTTTTAAAAAGATTTTCATTTAAATCTTTTAAAATACAATTGACAGAATTGTATTCTGTCAATTCTGCCAACACCTTCAGTGTACCTTGGACTTCTTTTCTTTTGTACCATTGGTTCTTGATCATATGTTAACCTCTTTGAATGGTTGAACATCAACCGTTTGTTTTTGTTACAGTGACTCTGTGTGTACCTTTCATCTTCTTTAGATGTTTTCTGCATCATTCAATATTTTGCCCATGTAGTTGTTTATGTTAAGTGCTGTTGAAACAATTCCGACTCATAGCAACCCTACTTAGGGTTTCCGAGGAGCAGCTGGTGGATTTGAACTGCCAACCTTGTGTTTCAAATGGACAGTGCAGTTTAGTGCGTTATCCTGCAGTACCACACCAGGACTCCATTTTGCCCATGTTGTTGTTGTTAAGTGCTGTCGAGTTGGTTCTGACCCATAGCACGACACTGTATAGGGTTTCTGAGGAGCAGCTAGTGAGCTTAAACCACTGACGTTGTGGTTCATTCAACTTTGCTGTCCAGTGCATTAACCCATAATGCCATAGCAAGACTCCATTTTGCCCGTGTTGTTGTTGTTAGGTACAATTGAGTCAGTACTGATTGATAACGAGCCTATGCACAACAGAATGAAACACTGCCAGATGCTGGGCCAATCTCACAATTTTTTGCCGTGGTGGAGCCCATTGATGCTGCCACTTT